ATTCCCCAGCGCTGTTCCCCTCCCCCAATTCCCCAATAAAATCTTAAAAAAATAAAATAAAAAAATTTGGAAGAATAGTACCATGAACACCCATCGTCTCTCCACCTACAGTCAATACTTTTTGACCTAGAGCCAATCCATTTTACTATTTTATATTACTCACACATACGTACATAATATGGTTTTGCTGAACCATTTGAAGTTGCAGAATGGACTGATTATTTTTTATTATCCCATTTTCCCCAATTAGTTTGCAGTTGTATTTGTTTCCCAAGGCTGCTGTATCAAAATACCAAAAAACTGGGTGGTTAAAACAGTAGAAATGTGTTGTCTTAAGAGTTCCGGAGGCTAGAATTCTGAAATGCAGTGGTCGGCAGGGTCATGTTCCTCTGAATCCTGTAGGGGGAGCCTCCTTGCCTCTTCCAGCGTCTCCTGGTTTGCCTATGATCCTTGGCTTGTGGGTGCATCACTCCAGGGCCTTTTTCACATGGCACTCTCCCTGTCTCATCGCTTTTTTCCTCTGTGCATATCTGTGTCCAAATTTCCCTTTTTTGTAAGGACAGTCATACTGGATTAGGGCTTATCCTAATGACCTCATCACGATCACTGGCAAAGACCCTTATTTCCAAATAAGATCACACTGACAGGTACCAGGGTTAGGATTTCAACATCTTTTCAGGGTACACAAGTCAACCCACAACAGAAACTATAAACTCTTAAAATTCCTTTAATGGTTTTCCTAAAAATCACAGTATGTATTCTTGACTTCATAGTATTCATTCCTTGGTTCTCTTCCTGGACATTGCAAGAAACTTAGTACACTTGAACCTGTTGGCTTCTCAAGATTTTATGCTATTGTTGTCATATAGTTTAATTTTATGTATTTTAAGTCCCACAAGAATTGCTTTATGATATTTAGTGGTTAAAAAACTTGGGTCATGTTTATACAAAAATGGTTATATTAGTGGGCTGACCGGTTAGCTGTTAGAGTGTGGTGCTAACACCAAGGTTGCCAGTTTGATCCCCACATGGGCCATTGTGAACTGCGCCCTCCCTAAGTCAACTATGCCATTGTAGCATGAAAGCAATGTGTAACCTATGACCATGGCTGTTCCCCAATAAAATAAAATTTAAAAATTTTGATATCCAAAAAATTGGAACACTGGTTAGTGCAATTATTTTGATGGAAGTTTATAAGGAGACTATGACTTTTCCTATTTTGGTTTTTTCAGTGATAACGTTTTCCCTGGTAATAATCAAGTAATACCAGCAGCTGCTGACAAGTGACTTGGATGGTGAAGGGTGACGCTGAAGCCCAGACTGTGCCCGTCCCTTTGCAGTGCCTGGGTGGGGTTGAGGAGGGATCGGGGAGAGTGGAAGCCAGCCTGGGCAGCCCAGGGCAGCTCGGGGCTGGGGCGGGGAAGGGGCTAATGCTGAGTACTGAGACCTCAGAGGGCTGAGCTGGGCTTCAGGACTATTCTGGGAATGGAAGTAGGGAAGAGGCCACTTCCTGAAAGGGAGGACAGAGGATGGGAGAAATGACCTTCCCATTGTGAACTTAGCCACCCCTCGCCCACTTCAGGCATGAGGTTTAAGGAAAAGATATTTGAAACCGGGCCTCCATCAGCTCCCAGGTGTGGTCTCCTCTACCTGCACCCCTCCCCACCCCCTCTGTTCTGGCTCCAGAGGTTTAAATCAGGCTGAACCCCGACTCCTCCAATAGCCAAATAAGCACAACAGAACGAGTTTGCGTGAAAAATCCACTTTAATAATCCAGCTTCAGCTCAGCTGAGAACGCCCCCTCTCAAGTGCAAGAGAAGTGTTTCCAAGAGGCCTCAATCCACAAAGAGGTTACGGCTCAGAATAGGGAAGAGCTCAAAGAAGCCCTAAAATGGGAGGCAACATGGGATTTGGAGTCAGTGGAGACGAGACGGGGGTGCCCCGCCACACCCCTCCTGCCAACACAGGACCCAGCAAGACAAACATAGTTGTTCACCCACACTTGACAACAACTCCAGTCTTCCCATTCCTGATCCCTTCTCTGTCCCCTCATTGTCTCCCGGGGGGCTTATCAGGGCCCCTGCGCCTTAAGAAGGGGGACCCTTCTTTTTCTATGGTAGCACCAACACAACCAGCCCCATCACCTAAGCCACTCACTCAGTGATGGCAATGTTGCCCTAGCAACCAATCCAGGTACCAGAGGGGGAGGGAGCCCAGCGAGTCACCTTGAAGAGGGTGAGGGTCTGCAGCACTCCTGTGGTGCAGGCTGTCTCCCGGATGGAGTGCATGGCCAGCTGCGGGCTGCCTAAATCCAGTACTCGCAGCCCCAGCCGAGAAGCCAAGATAGGTCCAATGGTGGACCCACAGGGGGAGTCGTTCCGGACCATAACATCCTGGGGAAAGAAGAGGTTCATGAACAACCTGTAGTGTGTGCTCATTAAGGCCAAGGAGAAAATCGCCTTACAACTGCAGGGCTGAAAGGGGCCTGGCAGACAGTCCACTTCTACCCGCTCAGAGAGTGAGTGGGATTAGCGTAGAATCACAAAACCAACATTAAATGGCAGGCCCAAAAGAGTTTATTCTGAATTGGTCCTATTCTCTCCATCTACACTACCACCACCCTAGGTCCAGCTACCATCATCTTGTCTCCCATAAAGAATCCATTCTCCACACAGCGGGCAAGAGAATGAAAATAAGAAGTATCCTTTATGCCGTCCTCTTGCTTAATACGTACTCACCACCCCCGCCCCATACACACACGAAGAAAAATCACCCGGTAGTTTCAGTGTTTTTTAAAAATATTGCTATTGACATTTTGAAACTATTTTCTTTATATTCTGGTAAAAAGATAAATGAGACAATCAGATAATAAATAAGATACCAAGGTTTTCAGTGTAAAGGAAAACAATTATAAAATCAAGTAAATTAATAACTATTGTTGTTTTTTAAATAAGAATTACAGTACTAATGATTTTCAAAATACATATCCTTTTTCCTAGCTATGCCCCCTACATATACACAATAACAATGAACACTCATGGTGCCAGACCATGGTCTCTAATGTCATTATACATCAAAAGCTACCAAGTGTGGGGAGAGAAATGAACAAGATGAGCCTGCAATTTCTTACTGTGTCAAAAAGCAAGAAAACTTTCAAGAGTCATGTAAAAGGACACAGCAGTTACATCGAAGGGGCTCCTGTTGGTCAGTTATGACAATTTGAGGATAAAATAAAATTATTGTAGTGCATCAGATAACTCTGAACCAATGAAAACCTATGATTTCGGGCCAGCCGTGAGACGTGTTGGTTAAGAGCTGGCTTGGGATGCCAGAGGGCCCTGGTTCGGATCCCACATATGAGGGCCTGTGACACTGCCCTCCACAGCTAAGATGCTGAACAACAGCTCGACCTGGAGCTGGGCTGCCGTGAGTCGCCGGCGACGGCGTAGGCTGCAGCCCCTGTGGCAGTGGGTTGCCATGGGCTACCGTGTGGAGCCAGCATCCAGCGTGAGCAGCCAACAGCCGCATTGAGCAGCCGTCCAGAAGCCAGCGACTGATCTGCCTCGCCCGGGAAGAGCGCAATGATGGTGCCAACTTGGGCCAGTGAAGCAACATCCTCCACAACTAGACTGAAGAACAAAACGACAGCAACTTGTCTGTTCCCCTTCCCCCAATTCCCCAATAAAAATGTTTAAAAAAAAAAGAAAACCTATGATTTCATAATGATAGTCAGAAAAGGAAAAGAAAAAAAAAACCCTAGTTGTCATCATTTGAGGAGGCAATTAAAACACTTCACCTTGAAAATTGGTTATTAAAGGAAAAGAAGGAGCATTTATCCTGTCTTTGTAGCGGGAACTGTACTTCATGATAACTAAATTGCCCTAGTTGATGGGAAAAAGTTCCACTTCACAGACAATGGCAGCTAATAAATGTAAAAGAAATGAAATGTAGAAGGGGTGAATTGGGCGGGGGAGAGTAGTTTTCAGTTAACTCTAATGAAATTATTGATTTAGGCAAAGATTATCAAATGGTGTTAAAACCTTCAGATGTCTGGTTGATGGGGACTCATCACTCATACACGTTTACTGTCCGGGCCGAGAAGGAAAACCCCCATAGGATGGAGGGATTGGAGGGCACCCCTAATCCAGCAGTCAATCTTATCATTGCTATCACCCAGATAATATTTGTATGATACAACATGGAGGACACACCAGCCATGTTGTCTTCTGGCAAAAAATGTTTAACTTGACTCCATCAAGCCTTTAGATATGAATTCAGTTTACAGGAAATACGGGGGCTAGAGGCACAAGCTGAACAACACGTGAAGAAGCAACCAGGCAAATCCAGAAAGCAAGAATTACATGGGATGATCAGCCTGGTTTCTTCAACAAGCCAAAAAGTCAATATTATTAGAAATAATAAAAATAAAAGGAGGGGGAAGTGTGCTAGATTAAAAGACATTTAAGCAACATATCAACCAGATATAACATGTGGTCCTGAACTGGATACTAAGTTGGCACAAAAAAACTGTAAAAAATATTTTTGGGATAAGTGGGGAAAACTGAAAATGATTAGGAGAGATATAAATGTACTCAAATAAAAATGTACTGAAATAGAAAAAGGAAAGGTACTAAGTGAAAAGAGGAAACTAAAACTACACCCAAGATGATTTCTTTTTTTTTTTTAATGTGCTAAGTACATAGAAAAAAATCTGGAAGAATATACACAAATCTCTGGGGATTCATGTTTTATTTTCTTATTACTATTTGTATTTTCTGAAGTACACATGTCCTACTTTTGCCATAAGTTATTAAAGAAAAATCTCCCAATGTCTTTCTGCTGTCTCAGAAGGAAATCCAAACAGCCTTCCCTGGCCTAGGAGTCCCTGCACGATGGTGTCTCCCTCTCTCCCCTGCATCCTGCCCCCGCCCCCACGCCCCCAGCTCTGGCCCCGTCTCCTCCTGACAGATCCAACTCACTGCTGCCTCCCTTGGGCCTCTGCACTAGTTTCCTCTGGCAGGGATGCTGTTCCCCAGACGCGCCCACAGCTGCTCCTTTCCTTCCCCTCCCCTCCCCTGTCCTCCTCCCCTCCTCTTCCCCCTCCCTCCCTTCCTTCCTTCTCTATCTATCTATCGATCATCTATCTATCTATCTGCAAAGGCATAATTCTCATCTTATTTCAGATTTTTTTTTTTTTTTTACAAATTGAAGGTTTGTAGCAACCTTGAGTTGAGTAAATCTACTGGCTCCATTTTTCCAACAGCATTGGATCACGTCATGTCTCTTCACATTTTGGTAATTCTCACAATATTTCAAGCTTTTTCATTATTATATTTGTTACAGTAATCTGTGATCAGTGATCTTTGATGTTAACTGATGTAATTGTTTGGGGGCACCAAAACCACGCCCATATACATAAGATATTGCCTGTGTTCTGACTGCTCTACCAACCAGCTGTTTGTTCCCCTATCTCTCTCTCTCTCTCTCTCTCTCTCTCTCTCTCTCTCTTTCTCTCTCTCTCGACTTCCTTATACCTCAAGATACAACAATATTGAAATTAGGCCAATTAATAACCCTACAATAGCCTCTAAGTGTTCAAGTGAAAGCAAGTCACACAACTCTCACTTTACGTCAAAAGCTAGACGTGACTAAGCTGAGTGAGGAAGGCATGTCGAAAGCCAAACCAGACCAAAGCTAGGCCTCTTGAACCAGTTAGCTAAGTTGTGAATGCAAATGAAAAGCTCTCGAAGGAAATTACAAGTGCTATCCAGTAAACACACCAGTGATAAGAAAGCGAAACAGCCTTATTGCTGATATGGAGAAAGTTTTACTGCTCTGCATAGATCAAACTAGCCACAACATTCCCTAAGCCAAAGCCTAATCCAAAACAAGGCCCTAACTGTCTTCAACTCTATGCAAGCTTAGAGGTGAGGGAGCTGCAGAAATTTGGAGCTAGCCAAGGTTGGTTCATGAGGTTTAAGGAAAGAAGCCATCCCTATAACAGGAAAGTATAAGTGAAGCAGCAAGTGCTGGTGTAGAAGCTGCAGCAAGTTATCCAGAAGATTAGCTAAGATAATTAATGGAGATGGCTACACTAAATAGACTTTCAATGTAAACGAAACAGCTTATATTGGAAGATGCCATCTAGGAATCTTACAGCTAACGAGAAGTCAACACCTGGCTTCAAAGGCTAGCCTGGCTCTCTTATTTGGGGTTAATACAGCTGTGACTTTAAGTTGAAGCCCATGCTCATTAACACTGTGAAAATCCTTGGGCCCTTAAGAATTATGCTAAATCGACTCTGCCTGTGTTCCATAAATGGAACAACAAAGCATGGCTGACAGCACATCTGTTTACAACATGGTTTACTAAGTATCTTAAGCCCACTGTTGAGAGCTACTGCTCAGAAAGTAAAAATTCCTTTCAAAATATTACTGCTCACTGACAATGCACCTGGTCATCCAAGAGCTCTGATGGAGGTAGACAATGAAATTAATGTTGTTTTTTCATGCCTGCTAACACAACATCCATTCTGCAGCCCATGGTTCAAGGAGTAATTTCAACATTCAAGTCTTATTGTTTAAGAAATACATTTTGTAAAGCTTTAGCTGCCAAATGATTCCTCCGATGGATTTGGGCAAAGTAAACTGAAAACCTTCTGAAAAGGATTCACCATTCTAGATGCCATTAAGAACATCTGTCATTTATGAGAAGAGGTCAAAATGTCAACATTTTGGAGTTTGGAAGGATTCCAACTCTCACAGATGACTTTAAGGGCTTCAAGACTTCATTGGAGGAAGTAACTGCAGATGTGGTGGGAAGAGCAAGGGAACTGAAGATGAGACTGAACTGCTGCAATCTCATGATACAACCACCACCCTCATTAAGTCAACAGCCATCAAATCAAGGCAAGACTCTCCACCAGAAAAAGATTATGACTTACTGAAGGCTCAGGTGATGGTTACCCCTTTTTAGCAATAAAGTATTTTTAAATTAAGGCATACACATTAATTTTTTAGACATAATGCTATAATGCAATATAGCGTAAACATAACTTTTATTGTATGTACTGGGAAACCAAAAAATCCGTGTGACTTGCTTTATTCACTTTATTGCGGTGGTCTGGAACCAAACCCACCGCGTCTCCGAGGTATGCCTTTGTCTATACCTGTACCTATGGACTAGATGGGCCATTGCAAAGGCAAGAATGCAAGTGAGCAGTTGGAGGTCCAAGCTCCCCAGCCCTGAAGCTCCCTTATGTAAGTGCCCAGGGTGTGTAAGAGAGACACAGGAGAGGTGGGTGTACCATGAGCCCATTGTGCCTTTAATCCTCACAGAAATCCAGCAGAATAGGCATCTTTACTAGCCCCATTTTACAGGCATAGAAACAGACTCAAGAGAAATTAGGGGACTAGTCCAAGGTCACAGGGCTAGCACCACAGCAGAGCTAGCATTGATACCAGCTCTGTCAATATCCAAAACCCCTGTTCTCCTCACTCTACTGGACCCCCTCCACTAAAGGTTGTCTACCAGGCTTCCCCCACATTGGAGGCCCATCTGCTTGTGTCCGCCATGCTCCACCCATCATGCCTTACCAGGCAGGACCCACTCTCACCTGCAGGGGTACCCCGACATTATTGGCCAACTTGCGGATCAGGGCCTCTGAAACTGCATTTGAGGCATAGCGTTGATTGGTGTTCACCTTGATCACAGGGCCCTGGGGAGAAGGAAACCAGGCATGGAGGGTGAGGCAAGGATGGATGACAAGCCCAGCGGGAATGAGATGGGGCCCAGAACCAGCCAGGCTTCCAAGTCCCCAAGGAGAAACAGGAGCACCTCACCTTGTGGAATAAGGGCCGGTGGTTCTCCTCATGCTTGTCCCTGTGAGAGACAGATTAAGGGCCAGTGATGGCAAACATGAACTGAGCCTGTCAACACCGCCCACCTCTCCCACCTCAGACATCCCTAATGGATCACTGCATGCTTTCCCACCCAGCCCAGAAGGACCTCAGGTATGCTAAACAGTGTTCCAGGCAGCCTCTAGCAATATATGGAAATAAGTTTGTAGATAGAGCCTGTTCAACATATTTGGGTTTGGCATTCCATGGCTTTGACGAAGCTGGGCCTTGGGACAGTCAAAAGAAGTCCACACTGAACCTCCCAGTTGAATGAAGAAGGGGAAGGGGGAGGGGCTGAAGGCCAGGGTTACACCCGGGGCTCCAGCTGTGTGAGGACAGGCACCGTACACTCACAGGTAGTTGGGGTGCACGGCGTGGGCCATGTCTGCACTGATCATGAAGGACTTGGGTATGGATTCCTCGAAGGCTGTCAGGTGCTGGGGTGAGGCTGAGATCCGCCGTAGCACCAACTCCGTCAGCAGCGACTGCGCCCCCTGGGCACTCTGAGACCCCACCTGGCAACAGCAGAGACCTGGGTCTGGGGGTCTGGGCTGAGGGGCCCAAGCTGGAGGCCAGGGAGAAGGGCCCAATGCCCATGCTGGCCAAGAATCCCACTGAGTCAGTGGGTGAGGAATGTGGGGTGTTGTCCTCAATTTCCCCAACCCTGTGCCACAAAACACCTGGAGGAGGACTGGGGCCAAATAATCCTCAGTCACCTCTGGGCAGAAAACAGCCCTTTCTGTACTGCTGGCCTTCCTTCTCCCCTGACCCTCGTATCTGGGGCTCAGCACAGATGCCCCACCACAAAGGCCAATCCTCTTGAGTGTGACAGAGACTAATTGTCCACACCTTCCGTAACACAACCCTCAAGTTGTAGCTAAGCACGTGATCACCCAGCTGGAGATGCCATTCCCAGCTTCCCTTGCAGCTAAACGTAGCCATGCTAAGTTCTGTGGAACGCAGGCAGTGACAAATGCCACCTCTGGGTCATGCCCTTAAAAGGATGGGCACACATTCCCCCTTTGCCCTTTCTCTCTTCCTAATAACTCAGTATAGACATGATGGCATGAGCTAGAACAGCCACCCTGGATCCTGAGATGGACGCCAGGTGTTCAGGATGGCGGAGACCTGTCCTGAACTGCTAACTGAAGTTTACACAGCGGCAAACTCCCCAGCTGTTGAGGCTTCCTTACAGTGTCTATGACTGCACCCTAACGTAAGCAGGCATAATGAGGACCCACCCTGTGCTGAGCCCTGGAGCTTTTAGGATGAAAGGGCACAGTCTTGTCCTCCAGGAGCTCACCATGTGGCACACAAAGAAATATGGGCGGTATGGTCACACCAAGGGCAGGGGCAGATACACGCTGAATCAGACGGGACCAAGGGCTAAGGGAGCCCAGACAGCGTCTCCCCTGCTGGCTCACAATGGGTGCTTGGCTCAGGCTGGCCATGAAAGACTCCCCAGAGGGGACCCTCCCCAGAGCCCTCTGTGTACCTCTTCGTTGTCATAGAGGGCAACCATGCGCACGTGGGGATCTGTGGCCAGGGAATCAGGGGCTGCACAGGAATCGATCAAGGCCTGGTTTGGGGAGGGATCAAGAGTATCACCCTCAGCCCTCCTCTTTCAGAACTCAGTCCACCAACACCTTGTGGAGGTGTCCATGGCCGCCCGCCTTCTGCCATCACGGCCCGAGTGAAGCGAGCTTAGGCTTTCACTGGCCTTCATCTGAGGGGGTGCTGCCTGGCAAGGGGCAGTGGGGGACCTTCCCAATGGGATGGGAGAAGCCCCCTTGGGTGTTCTTCTCCTACACCTTCCCATGCAGAAGGCAGGAGGATGTGTAAGGTGGAGGGCAAGGGCGGAGAATCCCGTAAAGTCGAAAGGGCTGCATAGATTAAGCAAACTAATTGGCCTCAGTGAAAAAGATCAGGGTCCAAAGAGGTGACTGTGGCTTTATCAAGGTGATAACTGGCTGGCTGGCGGCAGAGGCGGATATGAGTCCCAGCTCTGGTTCTGGTCTCAATTATAGCTCAAAGCCTGTCTCCAAGAACAGGCTGGGGAAGGAAGAAGGTAAAAAGGGTAGATGGAGGGGTGTGGTAGAAGAGAAGAGAAAGGGAACCGACTAGGGTAGAAAGGTGAGAATATCAAGGTGGCTAGAAGGAAGAAAGTCCACCCGACTGAGATCCCAAGGCACAAAGAGAATGCTGGGTGGGCTTACGCCTGCGGGGTGGGGAGCAGAGGGACGTGGATGACACTGCCTGATGGGCTGCTAAGGCCTTTCCCTCGAAGCAGAGGTTTACTTAAAGGAGAGGCAGCAGGAATGGAACAAGACACCATGGTGCCCTAGACAACTTCTCAGCCTTCCTCACCACAACCCCAGGCCCCAGGCCAGTGCAACAATGGGGCCAAGGGGAGCAATGCTGAGGCTGCAGCATTTAGGCCCCTCCCCATGGTCCACCAGCACCAGCAGACTGTGGGGGTGGCCAAAAGCCATCTCACCACCTGCTGGGGCTTGAGGCAGTCCCCCTGGTGCTGTGTGCCACCTGGGGGTGCCCCAGCTCCTCACCTGTAGGGCACAGAAGCAGCTATGCAGATTGTCCAGTCGAGGGGCAAAGATGAACTCCTCATAAGCACCACCTAGGACCTAGAAAAATCAGACAATCAGCCTGACCTTTAATCCCATGCCTGCTTCTCCCTGCTCCCAAGGGCTTTAGTCTGAGCTGCCTCCTTGGTTCCTTGCACCACCTCTCCCTGACCCCTGGCTTTGGACTATGCTCCTGCTGTGTAGGACTGAGCAGAGAATGGTGCATGGGGCTGGGCTGGGGCTGGGGCTGAGGGACGGAAGGGTGGAGACCTGCCACTCCTGGCCACCTCCTGTGGGACAGGAAAAGGGGCCGAACGGTCACAAGAAAAACTAAAGAAATAATCAGAGGAGGAAGCCAGCCAAGACACAGAAACTTAGCGCACGTTCAGACAAGCTCGGACATCCAAAGCCTTAGCAATCTCCTATTGTCGGGAACTGGGAGGGACTGTGGACAGGCTCCAGAAAAAGGGTGGCCACATGGTGGCCTCTTGCCCTTAGAGCTTCAGAGCCAGTATGGGTCAAAGTAGACAGGGACACCTCTAGCAGAAACTCCTGGGGAATCTGTGGAAAAGCCAATTCCAGGCCCCACCCCAGAGAGCCCCAGGAGGCAGGTCTGGGGCGGGGAAACTGCCGTTTTTGAGAACAGTGTCCTAGAGATAGAGAGGAGTGGTATCTATTGGAAAGAACAGGGATGAGAATACTGAGGGGCTGGCAGAGCTGACAGTGCTTCAGGGGACATACTAGGGCAGGATGGTATCCCAAACTCCCCCCCTCACAAGTCCCTGCTGCCATTCCTCACCGCAGGCTGGGTGTCTGCAAGGCAGAGCTCCATCTCCACGATGTCCTCAGGGCTCAGGCCCAGATCGGCACAGAGAAGAGACATGAGGACTGAGTGGTGCCGGTCATCCTGCAGGGCAGAAGGGTGCTGCGAGGAGGGTCGGCTCTTCCCCTCCACTCCCCTTCTAAGGAGATCGGTTCTTTCCCACCTGCTCACCCCTCCCTGTGAGCAGGGCACTGTCTTACTGCAGCATTGAGAGACCCTGGCTCAGGAGTCCCCTTCTCTAGCTCCTCCTGGACTGCTGTGGCAAGAATAGGGACTCTGTGGGGAGACAAGCGAGAAGGGATTGTGGGGAGGGTTAGAGGGCACAGCAGGACGGGGTACCCCCTAAGCTCAGGCATCTCCTGATGGGGAACAGCCTTTACCCTTTAATTCCCAATTCGCCCCCTGAATGACAGACTTGTTGAGGACCCTTGGACATCGGCTGGGTCCCAAAAGTAGAACCTGACTGTGGCCACCATTAAATAGTGATCTTCCAGGTCCCACTTGGGCCCATTCCATCATCTGGTGCCACACCCCATCCCTCTGTCACCACAGCCCTTGCCCCAGTCTTACAAGTGCATCTCCGTGTTGGGCCCAAAGTTCTCATTGATATTTCGCTGCAGATGGATGGCCAGGTGCGGGATGCGAAGAACGGGCCGGTCCACATGCACCAGCCGCTGCTCCAGACTGCCTGAGATAGGGCACTGCGGCCAACCAGGCATCGTGAGCCCAGGGCACCTCTCAATCACAGTTAGTTAAAGCTCCCACTTCACAGGTTGCCCAAGGCGGTCCTCTGACTTAGACTGCCATTACCCTCCCCCGCTTCCCTGCAGCAGAGGGCTCCCCACAGGTACTCTGAAGGAAGGTGACACTGTATCTTCAGGTAGCTGAAGCTGAGACCCTCCCAGGTTCTACCCCCATTACTACCTTGACAATGACGCGTCCAGCCAAGGTCAGGTCACGGTCAAACCAGGTGTTCCAGATCCCACCACCATAGGTCTCCACACCAACCTGCAGGAAGCCCACCTGGCCACGGCGTGATCGCCGTTTTACCTGAATGTGAAGATGGGGAATGAGAAGTCAGAGAAGACTGCATGACATGATTTGTAAACGAGATGAACTATTCACAAGCTAAGTAACATAGAATGAAAATTAGTGACAGAAGAGCCCAAAGTGTGGAGGAAGGGGGAGACAAAGCTTCTTCCCTGCTCCAGGGAATAGATCCCCCAATGTGTGCCTCCCAGCTCTCTTCTGCCCAGTTCTCTCCCCACTTGATGCCGCCCCCATCTCCGCACAGCCCAGTTCCTCACCCTGAGGCAGGGGCTGTCCGTGTGGGCCCCAATGAGGCTGAAACCATTGCCAGGAATATACTGGCCTCCCACAGCAAAAGCAATGATGGTGGACGAGTTCCTGGTCAGGAAGTACTGGGGGAAGAGGTGTTGAATTAGATCCGCCAGCCAGCTGGCACTCGGGACTTTGAGCCCCTGCCTAGGGAGCTGCCTTTCGGTCCCTACCCCACCCCTAGTACCTTGCTATTGGGCTTGATATCCCAGGTCTCGGTCTCCTTGAGTTCATGGAAGCCAGCTTGGAGTAGGCGGCTTCGGCACTCGGCAACAACTATAGAGAAAGAGCCCTCTCATGGCGACAGAAGCCGGTAGGGGGCACACCGGCCCCACCCCCCTCCGCTGCCCTGGTCACTTACCGTGGAAAGGAGAAGGGCTCCTGTTCACGAACTTGAGGAGTTCTCGGGCCGCAGCCTGCACCGCCTCTTTGCTGGCCCTGCCGCTCATGGCCACCTAGGGGAGAGGAGCGCTCTGACAACACCGACTCTCAGCCAGGCTCCGGGGACTTCCACCCCAAACCCCCAAAGTGACCGATCCAACGCTCAGACCTGTTTCTGCCCGTTTCCCCGCAGAGAGACGCAGATGTCGGACCGAACCTCTCTCCGCTTAAAGCTTCTGCCCTCCAGTCAAAGTATCACCACCCCAGCAGCTCTCCCCGCCCAGCTCTTCCAAGACACCCCGCCTCCTAGCCCGAGCTTTAGCCCGGCCCGCTAAGCCCCACCCCCACGTGCCCGCCCAGCCGGGAAATGCCGGTCCCGTTCCAAACTCTTGAGCTCCCAAACCCGCCCCTAACTCTGAACTGGCCTGAACCACGCGCGCGACCCCCTTCCGTAACTAAAACCCGGTTCACCAGAGGATGCCGCCCCTCCCCAACTCTCCCCTGTCCCCGCCCCCCGCTTTCCAATCCCAGGAAGGTTAGGTCACTCCGGGCCAGGCTTTCGGTTTCCTTTTGGGTCAGGCTCGGCCCCCCACCTCAGCGTGCTGCTGAGCTTGGGCCCGCGCGGGCGCCGGGCCGGGTCTGAGATAGAAATTCGAGCAGAGCAAGCGGAGGACACGCACCTGCATGGCCCCACGCCCCGAATGGCGTTCGCCCCCCACCGCCCTGCACTCTGCACGCCCCCACTCCCGCCGCTGGGTCCGCCCGCTTCACCGTCCGCCCCGCCCCCGTCGTTCGCCCCTCCTCGCGCCGGGACCGCGGGAGCCCTCTGCCGCCCCGGAGGTAGTAGGGCAGCCGCCAACCATCGCCACCCGCCCCTCCTCAAGGTCAGAAAGTCAGAGAAAAAATTCGCCCCACCAGCTCACCTGGTCTGACAGGTACTGTACAAAGTGCTCTCTCTCGCCACAGGTACCCTTGTGATAATAATAGAAACATGGCTAATGGTCATTGAGTGCTCACCATGAGCTTTAGCTTTATGATAAAGCTTAACGTGTTATCTCGTTTAATTTTCACAATTGCCCTATCAACTTTGTACTTTTACTGCCATTTTATATGTGAACAAATCTAAAAACAGAGATGACTATCCTATCCAAGGTAGTAAATGGCAGAGGTGGGGTTTGGACTCAATTAATTCCTGGGGCCTGGAACAACCCACTCTCAGAGCTTTTCTAGGCCTTTCTTTTTATTGGTAAATGTTAATGTTACCTGGGAGGTCCCTGAGGGACAGAGAAGTTAATGACTTGCCTAAGATCACACAGCTGTCTGGAGGCATCTGGGATTTGACTCTGATAACTATCTGCATTCTTTCCAGATCTTAAGACGACAGAAAAAAAAAAGTTCCATATGTTCTTGGAGGCAATTCCAATATTTCTGTGTCAAGAGTGGTGAATAGCAATTAAAAAAAACACATGCACCTGCCTAACCATAGATACTGGTCAGGACTCTTGGTGGCCCCTAGGTCCTGCCACCAGGGATATTATCAACATTCCAGGGATGACAGAGGGATGGCGCATTTATGTACTGGGGTGAGAATGTCCAGGGAGTGGGGGAGTCGTGGGAAAGGTCCTTTAGCCCTCACTTCAAAGCAGTAGCTCTTTCAGGGGAGTGTTCAAGAATATACACACTCCGCGAAGGGTTAAATTCATGGCATTCCTTAACCAATTATTGAAATGCCATTATGTGCAAAGTTTCAGTGCTGAGTAGGACATGGAGAGAACATTCTTGTCCAGCCACTGGGGAAGGGACACATTTGAGGACAGTGAAAAGAGCTGAAACAGGGGTATAACGTATAAAGGAAGGAGACTTAAAGAAAAATCTTTAATGTTCTTTTGATCACAAAAAGAAAGAGTACAGCTTACTGTGAGAAATTTGAATATCACCAAAACGCATAGCTTAGAAAGTGAAAGTAAATGATAAATTGAACACCCATTCTTAATAAAACAAAACAAAATCAGCTTAAGAAACCAGGAAGAGGAAGGATAAAGGCTGTTGGCCAGAAATGTACAGCAGGCATGAGTGGGAAATACAGAAGTGCTCTTATTCAAATCAGGAGTAAGGCAGTGATAAACTGTTACCAGTGGTAGTCAGTGTGGACCTGCAGTCAGAACCAGAACCACAAAACAAAATAAACAATTATATAGTATATGGAAAAATAAAATTTGTCATTATTTGTAGATTATAGCATTACCTAGAACCTCCAAGTAAATAAACTGACACATTTTAAAAACTGGTAGGAGGGGTGGCCTGATTTTTAAATCATTGGCTTGCCTGTACAATAATCAACTGGAAAATATAATAGTAAAAACGTCCTATAAGAAACACTAGTAAAATCCTAGGAATGAACATATGAGAGACCCAATCTCACTATAACCAGGGGAATGCATTTTTGATTTGTCAGAATAACAAAAATGAAAAAGACTGGCAATACCAAGAGTTGGAGAAGGCTTGGGGTAATGCATGCCTTTATACTCAATTTCTGTGGGGTAAACACTTCCTGTGGCAATTCCAGGTTGCCATCATGAACTAAATGTGGAGTTTGGGAAGAGATGTACAAAAGCATCACATTATATAGATTTCCACCATAGAGATAAAATTGACATAACCTCAAGAGCATAGATTTATGGTAAAATAATTAGGAAAGTGATGATTTTTGAGTATTTATTATCTGTGTTTGTAATATGATTTATTTAATTGTGAGTTTATATAACTTAATTTTTTAATGATTGCTAGGTTTAACAATGGGATCACAAAATTCCTGGAAATTTGACAATCGGTTCCTATGAGCTGGTCCAACTTGGCTCTAGCACACAACTTTACCTGTACTCTACACCTTTATTCCTCAAAGTGTGATTTGTTGACCTGGGGACTTTTTAGAAATGCAGAACCCCAGCACTTACCCAATCCTACCCAATCAGAATCTGCGTCTTAAGATCCCTAGCTGATTTCAATGCACGTTAATGTTTGATACAGTGTTTGAATACCATATGGCAATAAAAAATAATGTGAGGTCAATCTTTATGTATTATAGAAAAAAGCTCCAAATATACTGTTGAGTGAAAGAAAGCAATTTGCAGAATAATATTTACAGGGCAAGAGCATTTAAGTAAAATTTACACAATGAGCTAAGTTTCTAAATTATATATTAGATTGGTGCAAAAGTAATCGCGGTTTTTGCATTGTTAAAATTTACCTTTGTTATTGGAATACATTCTTAAATAAATGTGGTTATGTTATACAACATAATGCAAATTTCCTGCTTTATGTTTTTTTTGCTAATTATTGCTGTTTATTTTATATGTATTTTATTTATTTATTTATTTATTACAGATTTTTATTATTGGGGAATTAAGGGATGGGAACAGTGCTGGGGAATTGGGGGAAGGGGAACAGACAAGTTGCTGTCCTTTTGTTCTTCAGTCTAGTTGTGGAGGACGTTGCTTCACTGGCCCAAGTTGGCACCATCATTGCGCTCTTCCTGGGCGAGGCAGATCAGTCGCAGGCTTCTGGACAGCCGCTCACGGCGCTGTTGCTACTCACTGTAGCACACGCTGGCTGCTGGCTACTCACTGTAGCCCATGGCAACCCACTGCAGCAGGGGCTGCAGCCTACCCCGACGCCTGTGACTCATGGCATCCCAGCTCCAGGTTGAGCTGTTGTTCAGCATCTTAGCTGTAGAGGGCAGTGTCACTGGCCCTCATATGTGGGATCCAAACTGGGGCCCTCTGGTGTCCCAAGCCAGCTCTTAACCAATGCGCCACTCGGCCGGCCCTTATATGTATTTTAAACTATGGAAATGATTTTAGACAAAAAGCAAATTTGAGCGATTTTCTTAATTCGAGTTCAAAATGGGTCATAAAACAATGCATTTGGCCCACAAACTGCTAACCAACGTACAGTGCAGTGGTGGTTCAAGAAATTTTGCAAAGGAGATGAGAGCCTTGAAGATGAGGAGCGTAGTGGCCGGCCATCGGAAGTTGACAACGACCAATTGAGAGCAATCATTGAAGCTGATCCTCTTACAACTATAAGAGAAGTTGCTGAAGAACTTAATGTCGACCGTTCTACAGTTGTTAGGCATTTGAAGCAAATTGGGAAGGTGAGAAAACTCGATAAGTGGATGCCGCATGAGCAAACTGAAATTAAAAAAATCGTGTTTTGAAGTGTCGTTTTCTCTTATTCTATGTAACAATGAACCATTTCTCGATCAGATTGTGATGTGTGACGAAAAGTGGATTTTGTATGACAACTGGTGACAACCAGCTCAGTGGTTGAACCTAGAAAGGACCAAAGCACTTCCCAAAGCCAAACTTGCACCAAAAAAAGGCCATGTCACTGTTTTGTGGTCTGCTGCCAGTCTGATCTACTATAGCTTTCTGAATCCCTGCAAAACTAGTACATCTGAGAAGTATACTCAGCAAATTGATGAGATGCACTGAAACCTGCAATGCCTGCAGCCAGCATTGGTCAACAGAAAGGGCCTAATTCTTCTCCACAACCATGCCTGACCACACTCGCACAATCAACGCTTCAAAAGTTGAACAAATTGAGCTATGAAGTTTTGCCTCATCCACCACATTCACCTGACCTCTCGCCAATTGACTACCACTTCAAGCATCTCGACAACTTTTTGCAGGGAACACACACCGACAACCAGCAGGATGCAGAAAATGCTTTCCAAGAGTTCGTCGAATCCCAAAGGACGGACTTTTATGCTACAGGAATAAACAGACTTTTTTCTCATTGGCAAAAATGTGTTGATTGTAATGGTTCCTATTTTTATTAATAAAGATGTGTTTGAGCGTAGTTATAATGATTTAAAATTCACAACCCGAAACCGCAATTACTTTTGCACCAACTATATATATATATATATATATATATATATAGTTTTGTATATGTAGTTTTCTTTTTTTTCAGGTTTGGAAGGCAAGCGGTCATCTCTGGACAAAGGGGTGGCACTGGATATGAAGCTATCCCAAAAGAGTTTCTGAGGTTCATTCTTGCCCTCAGGGTCCTGAGAAAATCCCCCCAGTCCTTAGCTGGTATTTACAATGCTACCATTAATTATTTATCTTTTGGGTTTAACAAGTGCCTGTGAGTTAACACTGCAGTCCGTTACACACACTTCAGTGTGAGTTGATTCGTTATCATGTCTCTTCTGACCCATTAGTTTATGAGAGAAGCTTCCTAAGTAGTAATGTTTCACATAATTATTAAGGGTGA